CTGTGTGGAGGATTTGTCAATTTGTGGTTTTTCGCTACACCTAGTTGTGCCATTTTGTGTTCGAAAGGATCTCTGCGACCTACCAGTGCTTATTAGTTGGTGAGAAAGATTATTTGTTGAAAGATAACGTCGCATAACTATCAATTGTTTAGTTTATTTAATTTCAATATGGCGTCGGTTAGGAAATTTCTAACTTTTCTAATAAATAGCCCCTAAAAACCCGAACTTCATTCTTCATTAGGTAAGAGAAAATAACCAATAATTATTTTTTGTTTTCATAGTTGATTACATTCTAGGTGTGCAAGTTGAATTGTACTTCAAGAACTTTGGATTTTGGTTCTGTGGTTGTTTTGGTTAGTTAATGGTACCTTTATGAAATTGGAGCACCAAAAAAAAAAAGAAAACGCCGAACTCCCCCACTACAACATGCTGCCACTGCCAAACTATGGTTTTCGATGACATGACGGGGCATAAATACTACATTATTTAGGCAAAATTGTCCGTCGGTTATTATTAGTTGATAGATAATCAATATAAGTATGCATGTACCTTATTTTTTCAATAAAAAATGTTATTGGAAACTGATGTGCCTACTTAATTTTATAATTTTCAATTTTTGTTTTTTTTTTGGAAAAAGTTCTATCTGACTTCCAGAAAATAGAACGAAAATTGAAAATTATTGAATTAGGTAATTTTTAATCCATAATCCTAAAATTCATTCACCTATTAAAGTCATACTAGAAACATATAGAGGATGTTTCTTACACCTGCCCCGGATGTATTAGGTACATCCCGCGTCATCTTAGAAACATCCCTGAGAGATGTTTATAGGACATCGCAAATGATGACACGGCTGTTGCCTGCAACATCCCAGGGATGTCCCCAGGAAAATAGGGACCTCCCAGGGACGTCTTCATTATCCCTGATGGATGTTTCTGGAATGTTTCTGCGATGTTACTGTGTTATTAGGGTAAGAGTAAACACTTAAATCCAAACTAAACCAGGTTTGAAACGCAACACCGAAACACAAAGGCACGGTGAAAATAACGGTCAAAATTCAAACTCTATCGTGAATACGACTATATCACAAATTTCAGTGATAAACTGTGCGATTACTTTGAACGTTCTAGAACCGTCCTTTTTTCAAACCCGAATAGGCCTATAATGAAAAACTGACAAAAATGACAGGAGTGAAATTTACCTAGCGGCAGAGTTGGTTAGGAAAGAGTGCACACTGTGTAAATAGCACCCCGGTTATTTTCGAACTAGCGTGAAAGTCAACCAAAGTTTATACTTACCAATTCATTTTCGAACGGCTGGAGTGCGTTTGGAAATGGAGTGTGGAGGTAGAGTAGTTGTTTGTCAGAGTGTTCTGACGTCATCACTTGGAGTGCACTTGAGGTGCGCTATTTCTGAACGTATTGGGGCGTTGTGGTGAATGTCAACGTCAAACTCGGTAAAAATCACGGGGCGTTTTTCAACCCAGTTCCTGAGTGGGGTAATTTGGGCGTACTCTGGGCGCGTCACTCTCGATTTCTGAACGATTCCACCGTAACGCTTCGACTAAGCACCTGAATTTATGAACGGTGTAGAGTTACTCTAGGGTCACTCTCACACCCAGAGTACTATTTCTAAACGCAACCCTGGGCTGGGATCACGACGAGTAGAATTCTACTCTCATGACGTCACCCGTGACCGATTTATCGCATATAGTACAGGCATGATGATGGTTGCTAGGCAACCTAACGTCATAAAAGTAGAATTCATTCTAGTTGAATTCTACTTGTCGTGATCCCAGCCCTGGTGTGCACCCGGTGTGACGCCCGGAGTGATTTCGAACACACTCAGTGCGTTTAGAAATGGAATGTGAAGGTAGAGTTGTTGTTTGTCAGAGTGTTCTGACTAGTGCACTCTGGGTGCGCTATTTCTAAACGCATTGGGGCGTTGCGGTGAATGTCAATGTCATGAATTACATCAAACCCGATAAAAATTCATGTATTTTAAAACCGCGGGGCGTTTTTCAACCCACTCCGAGTGGGGTAATTTGAACGCACTCTGGGCACGTCAACTCTCGATTTCTGAACGATTCCAGCGTAAAGCTCCGAGTAAGCACCTGTTAATTTCGAATGGCTTAAAGTTACTCTTACAGTGGCTAAATAAACCTAGACATACAGTGGCGACCATGGCGACAATAGAGGTCCCGCCGCCATTTTGCTCCCAACCTCTTGTTACTTTTAAATATTAATATTTAGGATTTAAATGGACATTGAAATCGACGTATTTGATGACTATTATTAGGTCCATCAAATACGTTGTTTTCCATGTTTTAGGATGGATGTTCACCCAAATCCCATATATTCAATCATATATTCATATTTGAAATAAGCAATAGTTGGGAACAAGATGGCCACGTTTTCAATATAAATATATGGGATTTTAGAACCAATCAGAAATAAGACAGCAATTGTCGCCACTATGGGTAATAAAGTCACTGTAGTTACTATAGGCCAGTGGTTCCCAAACTTTTTTCTTCCGCGCCCCCTTTCTGAAATCAAGAAGTGGTCGCGCCCCCCTTCCTTTCCCCATTATACAAAAACATTTTTTTTTTTACTTACTGTAACTCGTCTGAACAGAGACGCTTTCGGGTGCTCTTAGAACATTTCACACCCGTCAGTGACTTGTTATACTCCATGCGTTTTGCACTCGAACGCTTGAAACCGAACAGGTCAAACTGTAGCCGGAGTACTTCGGAGTAACTCGGCAGCGCTCAACGGATGGCACCCGAAAGCAGTTCTGAACTTTGGAATGGGAGGAATGGGCATGACAGTTGGCAGCGAGCGTGCGCTGTAGCAATTATCGCATGGCAAAGTTTGGCTTAGGTATGCGCTGTTGCCGGATTGTAGACATCTTTTTTTAAATTTTAACTGATTTTTTTATTTTAAATCTTAAAATTTGTATTGATTTTTTAGAAGACTCACGCCCCCCTTAATGATGCTTCACGCCCCCCCAGTTTGGGAACCGCTGCTCTAGGCTCACTCTCACACCAAGAGTACTATTTCTTAACGCAACTCTGGTATTGCCAACATAATGTTATTTTGACTTTTTAAAAAAAAAAAAAAAAACAGACTTTATGCTTTATTTTTCTGATAATCTCAATGCAATGTAAATATATTTATTTCGCAACAATAGGAAAAAAATAAGAGTGTAACGCGTGTGGAAAGTACTCTTTTCAACACTTGTTGCACAATAAACTATAAATCTCTTAAGTTGGGAAAATTTTGCACGATCTCGCAACACTGTCTGATGACTGGAAAAAAAGGAGAATACAGTTTTATTCAATATACAGGGTGTTCTATTCAACTTTGGAAAGTTTTTGGAAAAAAAGCCTGTTAACTTTTATGACGTCATCTAAGGTGCCCCAAAATAATACAAGTCTCCGTAAGGCACCGCAGATGACGTCATCAAGTAACCTTTTACCAGACAACCTATTAGCTTGGTCACGCCCGAACTGTTAACGATTCGGTCGGATACAGTTGGCTCGAGTCGAGTTCAGCGCCGAGCGAGAAGGTGAAACAGTCGGCAGTTCGAGTGAGAGAAAAATAGCGCGAATGAGATTCAAACAAGACTCCCCTTAGAACAAATTTCGGTAACGTTGCCCATATCATTGACAAAATAATGATAATTGTTTGTAAAAGGTTGTCTGGTTAAGGCAAACAGATGACGTCATCAGGTGCAGTTGAAAGATTTGCATTATGCTTAGGCATGCAGATGACGTCACGTCGTGAAAGTTATCAAGCAACCCAACCCAAGGTTCCTAAAGTTAATAGAGCTGGGTTCGGCTATTCATAACGGAGTTGGAGTGGAGTAAGAACAGATTTTGTCACGTGATCTAGGAGTGATTAGAGTGAAAAATTAATAAACGAACGACCGGAACATCAGTCAACCGTGACTTTACAATGTTCCAGTTTTCCAATTTTTTTTTTCACTTTTTTCTGTCTCTGGTCTTTCGTGTACTATAAATTAACTCCAATTCCTCCACAATAATGAATAATATGATACTTTTGCCTCTGTTTAACTTTGTCAAAGAAATTTTTCCATCATGTTTAATAAATTTTAAAATCAGATCAATTATTTTACTCGATGATTTTACCCGAACGCTAATGGAGTCACCCCTAATACGCCAAAAAGCAATACTCGAACGGCTGGAGTGCGAATGAAGTCATTCGGAGTGCACGGAGTGAGCAAGCCAAACCCACCTTCGGTTGTCTGATAATGATAAGCAGATGACGTCATTAGGAGGAAAAAATGAAGATTTGCATTATGTTTAGGCATCCCGCAAATGACGTCATAGAGGTTATTAGGCAACCTACCTCTTTCAAACAACCTTGCAGGCAACCTCCATCTTTTAAACAACTTCGATCCAAACCGCAACTGGCAAGATTCAATATGACGGCAAAGGTCAAGCTAAAATGTTCCTGTTTACACCGCTACTATACAGGGTGGTCAATAGAAGTTATTATTTTTCCAAAACTTGGAGCGCGATTGGGATTTAATCGAGACTCTTCCAAAACAAATTTCGGAGGTTGTCAGGTAATGGCAAATAGATGACGTCATCAGGTGGTTCTTTTTACAGATTTGCATTATGTTCAGGCATACAGATGAGATCACGTCATAAAAGTTATCAGGCAACCCAAGGATCAGTTCTAATGTCTTAATCACTTGCTCTAAGTTTTTCGGACTTAGGTATAAGCATTCCTACTACTGCGTTTCTTGCCTCTCCTCCTAAACATTTTTGAAGTTTTATCATCAATTCCTCTGTGGTGTACTCACATATCGCTGAAATCCTTCTGAACGAGTAAATGAAAGTAGGCCAATCCTCTGGTCGTCCATCGAATAATGGAAAGTCCCGTCTTCTTCCAAAATTCTTGTATTCAAGCTGTGCATTTCTGCTTTCGTTTCTTTGCGTGTTATCGATTTGCAATAATAATTTGTTAATAGTGTCACTGGTTTACTTCTGATCTATCTTTTCTGACGTCACTATCATAAGATACAAACATGTCTGATTTCTCTACGAAATCTTTTTTAAATGAAGTTTCATAATTTCCTACAAATTCTGTTATATCACCAATATATTTTGAGTTTATAGGTGTTGGTAGAAATACACTTTTATGTGTATACTTTAAGCTTTGTAGTATTTCATTCACCATATAATAATAATAATTATCAATTATAAGCTCAATAACTATCGACAAAAGGAAAACACGTTTCAAATTGAATTAGAAACTTATTGGATTAGTTCAATTCCAGATAAACTCTAAAGCGTGTAAAGCATTATCACTAGAACTACACAGGCAGGCTATATTTGTAGGGCTTCTACATAATTGAATCTTAGCAGCCTAGTAGTGAGTAGTATATGTAAATTTAAACTTGATAATCCACTGTTAGTTGACGATAGCTAACAAAATACAATATTGCCAACTTAACAAATCACGCCTCTCTTTTAATAAAATCAGAATTATAACCGCTCAGTTAAATTAAAACAACTTCTGAATTCATTATTAGTTTAACAACTCTGACCTTACAACTGGACAAATTTTATTAGCTTTAGAAACCCAGAAGTCAACCAGCGTCCCTTTCAAGTATATATAAGCAAATTCGCCTTGTGATTTACACAGCGTCCAGTATTCGACCAGGATTTAGTTTTGCGGTAGAGAAGTTCATCCCAGAGTATTCCCAGCCAGTGAAATTTTCGATTAATTTACCGTCCTTTGATAATATACGTTTGAGTGATGCTTATGAATAATTTTATTCGGTAAATGAATAACTGATGGCGCAGTCGTTGTAGGATAAAACAGATTTATATTGAACTAAGTGTTACATCGATATTTTTCCATCGTCCCTTTTGGCTTTTTGGCAAACCCTAGCAAAAAAAAACCGGTAGATTTAAGCCAGAACCCGTCGGACGTAAAATAATATATTTTATCCCTAGCTCAGGCTTCAGTTTGGGGAAAAAATTACATAGAAAATTATGTGTGAGGACTAACACAAAAACTGACAATTTCTATTCAAGCAAAATTTTATCGATGAGCCATTTTCCATTCCTGCGCTCATCGATTCTCCCGTAATTTCGTATGAAACATACACAATTCTGTTTTGCATGTCGGGCACGAATTTCACTATCCATGTTTTTGTTGACGATGAATACAAATGATGTCAAAGTGTAAAGTTAGAGATTTATCATTTAAAATGACGCAAATTTATAAATTACCTGCAAAAATTATTATTAGCCAGCAAGCTGGCCCAAAGTTCCGAAATTATTATTTATCAAAAGGACCAGAAACTAATCAAAATTAGCCCCAAAACAACTTGAAACACGGCTGCAGAGAAACTTTCCATCTGTGCGATGGACTTTGTGTAATTTGGACGGCGAAATTGCTAATATACACTTAAAAGGACAACGGTCCGAATCGAGTTTCTAGAACTAATTGGTTTGTTTAAGCGAATGTGGACTGATCATTTCATAGTTTGATGTTATATTATACAAGAAGATTTTGGGTATCAGTAACATCTTCCAACAAATATCTAAATTTAGGTTATACATAAACAGTGGTTATTTTTTTCAGCTAACTTTGAAGAATGTTACAGTATATTTCAATGAATATGAATAAATGTGTATCGTATACCTAAAAACTACGACAAACGTCGAGAAAACATCTTTTTATATACGACAACATCCAGGAATCAAAATCAGCAATTCCTTTAACAAAATTCATCGAAAGTTTCTTTTATATCATGTAACCCAATAAACTTTGCAACTTTTTACATCTGCCTCCAAAATCTATGCAATATTCTTTGAGATGTTCGAAGTCGTATTTCGTATTCCTGTCTCGATGCAGTTGGTAAACTCAAACATTTTCGAGATTATATTATAACTTTTTCAATGTTGATTTATATGGAAAATATGTTTTTGAAGAGCTTGTTTACAAAAAAGAGAATACTGTGTTCATTGATTCAATACAGTCATAAGATAATATAGTAAAAACTTAAAAAAAGGATTCTTTCATATTAAACATCCCCCCCTTTCATATATCACTCAGGCGATTACTAGCGACTCGGAATGGCACCTTTTTGCCGTCGTTTCCTTTATTTATTAGCAGACAAAACCCTTGGGGAAGGACCCCCCGGACGCGACAGTGTCACCAGGAATCGGATCTGGCACCGATATCGACTTTGATGCGGCTTTTCGGTGTATATATCGCGAAACTTTTGTTCCTGGTACGTATGTGGTAATTGTCAGATTAAAATGACTAAATTGTTAGTTGAAAACGTAGGTGTTTTATATAAAACATTGTGAATGTGGTAAAATCTCTTAACAAATTTGCATTTCCCTATACGTATATTATGTTTACGCCGTCACATATTATGCATGCCCGTCACACAAATTGCAAACTAAACGAAAATTTAGTTTTGGGTGAGAATTTCACGTTGAATTAAGATGAATGTTCGATTTTCCTCGCTTCGATTGGAAAAGCGAACACACTCAACTCGGCGCCTTCTTAAATTGATCACCTTATGAAAAATGCATTGTCTCTTTCTTTTCTTTATTCGCGAAATTGTAATGCAGGTGCGAGAATTCTGTATATGGAGTGAGTGCTCGATAAATTTGATATATGTATAACTGCGGAGTTGAGAACTAGCTCGGAAATTGCTCAAGAATTTTACTCAAAGCAAAAGTCTTATTTTATGTTATTTTAGTCTAGAATTATTTTTATAAGCTTCTCCTTTATGTTGAAATATTGTCTACAACAAGATTGCATTTTTAAAAAATATAAATTCCTTGCGAAAACCTTAAAATATCAAAACGCAATGAAAAATTTCCAAGAGTTTAGCATCCAAAGATGTAGAGATGTTTCTGTTTCTGTATGAGACTATGAGAAAGCGTTTGACAAGGTACAACATGAGAAGCTTATGAAAATTCTCAAGGATGTAGGCCTAGATGATAGATACCTTAGGATAATCGCAAATCTCTACTGGAATCACCATTACTTTTCAATATTTATTCGAACAAAATATACATGAAAAAGCATTAGAAGATTGACCTGAGGTAATTTCTATAAACGACGTGAACATTAACAATCTTCGGTATGCGGACGATACAGTTTTAATCGCTAATTCTCTGGTAGGTCTTTAAATATTACTTGATTATTTACTAACTAAATGAATAGTGATTAGTAAGATCCAGATGGAAGGAGGTATTCTTCAGGTACATAACAAACAGATTGATGGGGTCCAATCATACAGATACCTAGGATGCCAGGTTAATGAAGACTAAGATAACATGTGGGAAGTTCGTGCAGGATTGAACAAGCCAGAGCATCAGTTGTAAAAATGAAGTCCGTGTTGTCAAGGTCTCGCGCTCTCCGTTCGCACTCGAATACTACGTTGCTACGCCTTCAGTATTCTCTATTATGAGACTAAAGTGTTAGGGCGTAGACTCCGACAGACGCCATGTGTAAAAAGCAAAAGGCTTTTGATATGTGGCCATACGAACGGATGATAAGAATATCTTGAATGGACAGAGTGTGCAATGGAAATGTGCTAACGAGAATGTCAAAAGATCTCAAAGTTATATTTACGGTTAAAAAGCGAGAGTTAGAGTAGGTACTCCGGACACATTTTTTTTTCTCTTGTTCCAGGCCTGTCCGACCTATTGTCTCAATGCAGCACTGAAGCCTGAGAACGAGAAGGCTTATTGTATTTAGCCTGTGTGATTTATTCCAACCACTCTAGTATTTTTGTGCCTTGTACAAGGTTGAACAGGACGTTTGGTTGTCCGAAAATGCTGCGTCTTCTGCGATCCAGCGCCTCGCAGTTTACCACGATGTATCTGGCTATCTTAGATTCCTTATTGCAGAGTCTGCAATTGAGGTCTCAGTCGTACAGGTTCGTCCTGTTCAAGTGGACATTTACTGATGTGTAGCCAGTCAAGAGTCCCGTTATGGTTCTCAGTCGGCTCCTGCACATTTGTACCAGTTCTGCGGCCCTTTTGCTGCATGGTTGGTCGATGAATCCCCTACCATGATTCTGCCTGGAAAATCTCCAGTATCGCCGATGTTCTTTATGAATCCAGTCTTTAATGTGACTTCTGGTCATACTTTTTGGTATTCCTAGAGCCGGTTCTGGCCCAATAAGTTTTGTCACTGACCTTCTCTTTGCAAGTTCATCAGATTTTTCATATGATTCCTTTGTGTCCTGGCACCCAGATAAGTTTTACCTTACTCTGGTCCGCCCTGAGTTTTTCCTGGTATTCTCATACTAGTCTTCATGACACTGAAAAAGTTTGTGAGGCTTTCGTGGTCCAGGTTTATTGATAAGGTATTTTCATTCGGGCTTGATGGCCGTCGTAAGTTGGAATTTCTTCCTGACATTTCGCTAGTAAGCATGACTAGCATGTTCAGAGGTGCTTCCATGTCCGATTCTGGTAGCAGACTGACGCGTTCCTGACCGCAAGTTGTATTTATGTGAGAGGTTGTGGTGGGGGAGGGGCGGGGCTTCGCAGCCTGTGGCTAATCTGAACTTTCTCTGTACTCAATGGGATCTTTCTTGCGTTTTTGAGTATCGGATTCCAAATTTGGTTAAGTTTTAGTGTTTCTTTTTTCCTGTTGAAGTTCTCCGTATGTCTGTGGATTTCTATAGCTTCACGTACAAGACGGGAAGTCGACAGAGAAGTCCAGATGTCTAGCTCGTAAAAAGACAATACCTCTAGAGTTTGCTTGGACTTCAGAATGCTGAACAAGTACACGAAAAAGGACAGCCTTACATTAATTCCATCCTCAAAAAATATTTACGGAATGCCCGCAACCTGAGTAGTAGACATAAAATCTGCTTTTTGGCAAGTACCATTTAGTTCTGAGTCACGTGGACTGCTTCTACTGTCTGGACGAGGATTGTTTCAGTTCTGTAGGATGCCTTTCGGGTTAACTAATCCTCCAGCAACTTGGCAGATAATGCTTTGGAAGCAGATCTTCAACACAAAATGGAGGTTTATCTGAATGACATTATTCTGATAAAATTTGTGAGACTTTCGCAGCACAGGTTTATTGA